CACTGTCAGAAAGGACTGAAGTGTGGGGAGCACCCTTTCCATGGGGGGAAGATGCCGCCCCCGCCGCCCCTGCCACTCCCTCCTCTCAGAAGAAAAGTGCCTTGACAGTGGGAACAGCAGGGAACCTGTCTCCCCTGGGAATGATTTCCTTTGTAACGCAGCTAGATTGAGAACAGCAATGTACTTGCTGCGCATGGTAGCTGAGTGACAGCCACCTTAAGTGACATGTTTCGGCTATCCTCACAGGTGTCTATTATGCAGTCGACCTGCTTAAGTGACTTTCCAGGGAGACAGGTGCAGGGGGTGTGTAAAGAAACAGGCTGGGGGCGGGGGGTGGGGGGATGGATGGAGCCGGAGGCTCCTGGATGATGTCACCAGATAGTGAGGGCATGGCTGACGCACAGGGGGAGGCACGCGGATGACCACCCCATGGGATGTCTATGCAGATGTGTTTAGGTGACCCCAGCACTGAGGACATGTTTGGGAATCACTCGGCTGATGACATGCTCAAGTGACGGTAACACAAGCCATATGTTTGGGTGACGTGTGGGTGACACCTCACAGGTGTCGTGGAAGACAGCTCAGCGGACACGTGGGGTGGTGCTTTTAAAGACAAGACAGCTTCCCATCTGGGGCTGTTCCTACAGCTCCACTCGGTGCTTCTTGCTGGGCTCCAGGGTTTATGCCTGGCCTGGCTCGACCACTAAGCTGCATCATTCACTGGGCACAAGCTTGACAGCTCTTGTTCCACACTCCCAGGCTGTGAGCGGCCAGGTCCTGGGTGTCCACCTCTTCACGTCCTGAGCTACACTGTTTCCCTTCTCCACTCTACCCCGCCCCCCATTCTCCTGTAGCCAAGCCCAGGATTTAAGTGGGGTTTCCGTATCTTCCAATCCCCCTTCCATTCAGAATCCAGACCAGGGCCTCTCCTCTAAACCCCTCTGAAAGCGGTCAGTGTTGGGGAGAAATGGCCAGGAACTGTCCACAGAGCCTCCTCAGCCACCTCATCCCCCACTCCCTCCCCTTCCTCCAGTCACAGCCCCTCTGTTCTTCTTGCCCTTTCTTCCTGCATACACCTTGTTCCTGCTTTATAAGATAACATTTTTACTTTGGATAATCTTAAATCATGGAATAGTAGCCAAGATAAGAGAGTCCCCGGACACCCCACGCTGCCTATCCTCTATCTCAGCTACCATCTGAATCCAGACACAGCCTCCTCCCCAGGTTCGCTCTGGCTCTCATCTCCGATCCAAAGCTGCCAGGTCACAGCTTTGATCCACACCTAAGCGCCTCGTCTCCTTCATCAAACCCTGAGATCTTCCACTGTCATCCTTGGAAAGTGGATTAAGTGGTCCAGAGCCTACCCCGCCCCCAGCACTGAGTGGCATTGATCCGAAGGCTGGATAGAAGGTCTTCACAGGCAGCAGGGGGCCGAGGGGGTGGGAGGAGGCCGCTCTCATCGGTGATGGCCTGAGATCAGGTCGATAAACTATTAATAACCGCAGCGTCTGTGCGCAGATAGGGGCGATGCAGTTTAGCGGCTGGAGTTTACCAACACTGACGGCATCTCTGAAGGGCGAGTAATTGTGTTTTTGAAAAGCTGGGAACAGGAGGAGCAGGAGTGTTGCCTTTACCTGTTGGCCTGAGCCTCATCCAGGGGAGGATGAGGGCTAGACACTGCAATTCTGCAGCTTGTAGGGACCAGAGGACCACATCTGCATACCCACGTCTAGACCTACTGTGTGACCCACATCTAGACCTACTGTATGTCCTGGCATCTCAGCCTACTGTGTGTTCTGATATTTGGACGAACTGTGCATCTCAGCATCCAGGCCTACTATGTATCCTGGACTCTAGACCTACTGTGTGCCCTGATCTATGCCTGTGGCATGTTCTGGTATCTAGACCAACTACATGTTCTAGCATTTAGACCTACTGGGTGCCCTGCGAGGTTGAGCCTTGTGGTGGTGTGGAGATACCTACCAGTTACTTATCTCTACTTGGAGAGTCTCCCTCGTTTCCAGTTTCTGTGGAAAGTCTCTAGCCATTCCCCTGACCCCAGCAGTGCAGTGGAGGGCTTAAAAGCACACAGGTTAAAAAGCACACAGGCTGTTGGATCAACATGTGACTCCCAGCTCAGTTGCAGCCCTGATTTGGACCTCTGAAAAAATCATGTGACTTCTCTCAGGCTCGGTTTCCCCATCTGTCACACCACTCACTAGACTTTTGGGAAGACTACCAGGGCTCACCCAAGGGCACCGCCTAGGGCTGGTGCATCATGAGTGTCCAGTGACATAGATCCCAGAGGCACACAGAGTTCTTGAGCTGCCTCTGCCAGGCAGGCCGCCCTGACTGCTCATCCTTTGCGTGGACAGACCCAGCTCCTTTCCCTCTGAGTGTGCCTGCAGGTACCATCCACCCACCTCCCCTCTCAGCCCAGAGGTTCTCCAAAAGTCTCTTGCCTTCTAGCTAAGTGCTCCTGAGTATCTGGGAGGACCAGGTCAGTGGAAACAGCTGTTAAAAGCCAGGGTCTCTGGTGAACCTGGCCAGTTTGCGGTGTTTGCGGAGGCTGTTTGGCCTCCCATGTTAGGATTCTGCCACTCCTCCAGCTGTATGACCGCACATGCGCAGTTCAGTAGCTAAGCAAGGGATCTTACACCTTACGTCATCTGTGTGCTACATGATTATGTAATGCGTGGTATGGTCACGCAATCTGCACATTCGTGGCATAGCTCTGTAAGCACACGTGAGCATGAGCAGGGAAATCCTTAAAAAACCGGTCACAGACCCCTCCCCTCTCTTCTGCTCTCTCCTCCTCCCTCCTCTGCACATGTCTTCCGCAGGCCTGGTCACTCTCTTCTGTGCGGCCCCCACACACACACCTCCTCCTAATAAAGGTCTGATACTGGGGTTCGTCATTCCTCATGACCTTTCTCGCACAGTGACCAGCACCGCTTATTTAAAACCAACATCCCAAGGCCTCACTTTTCCTATCTGATGATTGGGCGTGACGATACTGTGTGGAATTTTAGCCCTGGAAGTGCTGACCTTTGCAGATTCACAGTGGAGGCTTCCCGGTGAGCATTTCCCAACGCACCGACCCCTACTCTAGCTATGATCTCCCACTGCACAGACGAGAAAGCTGAGGCACACAGACAAGATGTGTCACAAAGCAAGCAGGCAGGTGCCCTGGTGAGAACCCAAGTCAGAGGTGGCAGATGGGGGAGTGGGCACATGCACTCCTTACCCCCCTCACCCTGCCCTTGCGCCTCATTTCTTCCTGAGCTGAGCTCCTCCTGAGTGATTTGGCCTCTGCTGCCCTGTGTGTTTCTATTCTGAGCCTGCCACCTCCCCAGGTAACAAGAGCCATATGCTTCCTCCCTGTAAGAAGAAGGATGGCCTTTTGCTTCCCTAAGTTCTCCTTGCCAAGCTTTTGGGGAGTCTGGGGTGTCTCCCATGCACCTCGTCAAGGCACGGCAGCCTTTTGGCCCCTCTGTTTGCCTTGGCTTTGATTTGATGCTGGGAAGAGCCTCAGATTCTCCCAGAATCCAGGTAGCAGACAGACAAAGAATGCAGGGTCCAACTGTGTGGCCTCCTTCTGCCTTTCTGGGGAAGCGGGAGAGCCAGCGACGGACCTTTACAGACACTCAGTGAAGAACCACACAAATGCACACAGAACTGAGCCAGCTTTCAGCGCTCGCCCTCCTACTTTCTCCTGTGCCATTAATTGATTAAAATTTTAAGACAAATTATTAAGCCACTGCCTCACGCTGTTTTCAATGCTCAGTCTATAGCCAGGAGCCAGACAGAGATGCATGCTTGAATGGAGACACTGGGAACTTGTTTTTCTGTCTTGTCTGCATATACACCTCCCTTCTGCTCAGAAGAATTGAGCTGGACAGTAATGAACCTGCCTCAAGAGCAAGGTCATCATTTAAAAAAAAAAAAAAAGCCAGTCCCACCTTGTCGCCCCTGGGGCTTTTGTAAGTTTTACCATTGTTCTGCACATCTCCCAGAAGCCTCACCCTTCTGCTGCGGTTTTCTATGCTTGAAAAATTTGCTACACTGTTATTTTTTATCTTTAATTACATGTATGTGTCTGTGCACAGGGGTGCAGGTGCCCAAGGAGGCCAGAGGCATCAGACACCCCTAGCTGGAGCTACAGGTGGCAATTGGAATTGAATTTGTGTCTTCTGGAAGAGGAGCATGTGCTCTTAACCACTGAGCCATCTCTACAGGCCCCTCTTTTGCTAACTTTATTTTCATGGTTTATTTGTGTGTGTTCAAGTGTGTGTGTGTGTGTGTGTGTGTGTGTGTGTGTGTGTGTGTGTGTGTGTGTATGTGCTTGTGTATGTGTGCATGTGTGTTCACTTGCACATGGGGGCATGTGTATGTAGAGGCCAGAGGTCAACTTCAGGTACTGTTCCCCGGGAGCCAGCCTCCCTGTGTTTCAAGTCTGGGTCCTTCACTGGGACCCAGCACTGTCCAATCAGGTGAGACTAGAGCTGACCGGTGAGCTCCAGGGATCTGCCTGTCTCTGGCCTCTCATTGCTGGGATAGCATGCATGCACCATCGTGCCTGGCTTTTCATACAGATGTTGGGGACCAAACTGAAGTCTCATGAGTGCACAGGAAAGGGCTTCACCAACTGAGCCACCCCCCTCTCCAGTGCTTTTTGGTTTTAAGTTTCATCCTCAGCTATACCAAAGCATAAATGATGAACTGCAATGTTGATGTATTTAAACTCTACACACTTCACAGGTCCCAGCGTATTGAAACTATGGCTACCATGAATATAATGACCCCATGCATTGCTCCCGAAGTTCCCTCATGCCCTTTTGTGATCCACTCCCCCATCCTCAGAAGGCCACAGATCTATCTATCCCCATGAAACCCATTGCCTAGGATCTTCTATAAATTGTGTCTTACAGTGCTTGCAACCTTTTGCTAGCTTTCTGTGTTAGCTTTCTGCTGCTGTAATGAGATACTAGAGACAATCGCCATACACAAAGGCATAGTTTATTTTGGCTCGGTGTTTTTCAGAGATTTCAGTTCACAGGGTTTGACCCTGACACTTTGGGGCCGATGGCAAGGAGAAGAAAATAGCCCAGAGGAGACAGATGGGGAGGAAGCAGGTCCCACTCCCCATAAACAGCTCACAGACCACCCACCAGGCCCCACCTCTTAAAGCTTCCACTGCTGGGCTGGGGAGAGGGTGTACTGGGTAAAAGGACTTGCTGAGTTTGGTTTCCAACCCCACGTGAAGAACTGGATACGGCAGAGTCGTCTATAATCCCAGCACTCCTATGGGGAGATGGGAGGCGGGGACGGGAGAATCACCCAGGAGCTTGTGGGTCAGCTAGCCTGGAGTCTGCTTCACAGTGGCAGAGACAGCAGTTGGTGCTTCAGTGTGGTGGAAGGAGAGAACTGACTCCTGGGAGCTCTTCTTTGGCCTCTGCACACGTGCTGTGGCACGTGCCCTCACACACTCTCTCCATCTCTCTCTCTGTCGCTCTGTCTCTGTCTTTGTCTCCCTCTACCCCACCTGCAAATATTTAAATATTCTGTTTAACTTGGTGTAGCACTAAGCTGGGGGTGGAGCCTTTAGCGAACAACCTCCACTCTTCATCGTTATCTTACCATTCACTCCTGGGTGGCCTCTGTCCACACCACCTCCTTCCTGGTCATGGCTGAGCCACATCCCATTGCATGGATCTGGCTATGCGCGTCATCCTGCTGTGTGGACATCTTTATCTATTTGCCCATTGATGGACATTTATGTTGCTCTAGGCTCTCACCATTAGGAACACAGTTGCAGTACATCCTCAGATACCTGCCTTCATTTCTCCTGGGTAACCACAGAAAGACAGCATGGCTGGCGTAGGCTCACTTTAAAAGTCACTGCCTGGGGCTGGAGAGATGGGTTAGAGGTTAAGAGCACCGACTGCTCTTCCAAAGGCCCTGAGTTCAATTCCCAGCACCCACATGGTGGCTCACAACCATCTGTAATGAGATCTGGCGCCCTGTTCTGTATACATAATAAATAAATAAATCTTTAAAAAAAAAAAAGTCACTGCCTGACTTTCCTCTAAAGGGAACAGACAAGCCTCCCCTCCCCCCACCTCAGTGGCTTTCTGCCTTTTTTTTAATTTAAAAATATCATTACACTTATTTATTTATTGTATGTGCATGGGTGTGTATGAGCATACATGCTGCATAGCCTGTGTACACATGTGTAGAGGTCAGAAGACAAGCAGAGGGAGTCAGTTTTCTTCCACCACAAGGGGTCCTAGGAGTTGGACTCAGTTTGTCAGGCCCAGCAGCAAGCACCTGTTGCTGGTGAGTCAGCTTCCAGATCCTCTCAGATTTAAATTTTCTTAAAGCATATTATTTTGTGTGTGAGCCAGTGTACATGATATGTGTCATGTATGGGAAAGTGATTTCTGGCATGTGTGGAGGTCAGGGACAATGTTGTGGAGTCATGTCTCTTCTTCAAGAGATTGGACTCAGGCAAGCACCTTTACCTGATGAGCCAGCTCACTGGCCCGAGTTCTGCCTCTACATATGCCACTCATGAGCCTTCTAGAAGCATCTCTCCCACCCTACCTCTTCTGGGCATCCAATCTGCTCCCACATTTAAGGAACTCATTGTCAGTGAGCTTTACACTCAAACTCCAAGCCCAGGCAGCAGCAGGTGTGTGGCAGGGATGGAGAGACTCCTGGGCTGTGGGGGAATCCCAGTGTGCACTCACCATTCCTGAAGCCCTGGGTTTCTGGGGTACCAATCAGACAAAACAAAGCTTAGGAGACTGGTAGGGAGCTGTGGGTTTCTCTATGAGACACAAGTGGGTTCCTCTGGTCCCCTCTGCTCCTTTCTTTGCACAGGTAGGGTAGGTTCAGGGACAGACTTCTTCCCTTCCTCCATCTTGAGCCTCTCTTTCTTGTGAGACCTCTCTTTTCTCTTCTCCCTCCTTCCCACCAGTCTCCCCCAGCCCATCCAGCCTGTCCCACCTGTACCTTGCTGCCATGGTGATCTCCTGACCACCAGGATGCTGATCTCCTGACCACCAGGATGCTGATCTCCTGACCACCAGGATGCAGCCCATCCCTCCCTTCACATACTGCCTTCTCTAGGCTTCCTTTCACATAAGGATCAAGCCCAGTCTAGCTGCAAGCTCAGATCTGGCTCAGGCCCAAAAAGGAGGATAGAAGGAACAGATGGAGGGAAGAAAATGGCTTGTGGCCTCACATCCCTTGCCAAAATCCAGCAATCGAATGAGGAGACTCTTCAGGACCAAACTTGTATAATGCACTCTATTTAAAAGGCATTTTGTAATTCAAACGTCTTCATTTATACACGCGGCACCTCGTTGCGGGCTAGGAGTGAAGATTCAGGTAGCAATGGGTCCTTTGAGGCCGAGCTTTAATGAAGAGATGAGAGCGCCTTTTCATTTGGACAGCATTGTTTGCATGGAAACACAGCCTCTTAGGGGATGGGAAGAGTTCTTTCTTGCAAGTAGGTTAAACACACCCCCTGCAATCTTATGAGCCCAGAGCCTGCCAGGGCTCTGCCGTCCCTCATCCCTGCTGGCAAGAGACCAAGTGTGAGGTCATGAAGTTTTTACAGCTCTTGAAACCACCAGGCTGCTTCCATTGGCTGCTCTGCTCACCCTCCCCCCCCCCCCCCCCCCCCCGTGTCTCCCTCAAACACCTGCTCCCTCTCTCAGTTCAGGGTCATGCCCTCTGATGCTGACTGATGCCTGCTCTGCTTGGGCAGAGCACCTTGGTGAGGCAGAGCTAATAAAAATGGCTGTAAAGTCTCTGGCAGCCTTGACTGCAGTTGGGTGTTTGCTCATAAGAGCTGCCTGCTCCTCGTAAGGAGAAAGGGGTGGAGTGAGGTCCCTGGCCCGCTTCTCACGTTTGTACCTGTGTAATTTGAAGAGCTCGACTGTGAGCTGGGCGTGGTTCAAGGAAGGACCAGTGGTCCAGATGTGCACCTGCTCAGCCAGCCCCAGCTCTTCCCCGTCTTCAGCTGTCCTCCCAGCCTCTTACCTTCTCCTTCAGAGGCAACCTCACAGCCCCTCCCAATGTCCCAGGCCTGGAAAGAGACAGACTGGCTGCTGGTGGGAGGATTAGGCCCCACAGGGAGGCATCTGGGGACAACCGGAAAAGATGATCACAACTTGGCTGGGGATGGACTCCCCAGTGGAAGACCCCAGGAGGGCGCTGGATGCATGGCTTAACCTTAGGCAAGCACAGGAATCCCCCCTCTTGGAGATGGCCTTCTGAAGATGGGGTGAAGGCTTCTCATAGGCTCTCAGGGGGAAACTGAGGCTGCAGTTGGCCAATAAACACACTTTGAGTCTCCTGTTCTTGGCTCTTTCTGTGATCTGGATTTATCCATCTGTTGAAGTTTGCCCACAAAGCAGTTGAGGTGGTTCCTATCTCTGGGCTTCTCCAACCCCCAAACTGGAGCCTAGAGCTTAGAAGTGCTTGGATCACAGCCTGTGCCAATGGACAGGATTAGATGACAGATGTCACAGCCCTGCAGGGGTCCCCTCAACCACAGAAGCTGTCACAAAGCTAATTCCATACACACTACAGCCTCTATCCTGCTCTCTAGACCCTCTCTGTTCCTACACATCCCTGCAAGGTTCAATGTCTCCCTGGTTTTCATGGCCCCCTGGAGGTAGACTTACACTCAAACCTAGCTCAGAAGAAACACAGACTCCAGACCCAGGCCAAGGGCAGCCTGTCCTGTCTGACTTGACTAAAGCCACCTGCAGTGATAATACTTGAGTCACCCTCCACCACAGTGTGGGTCTATCTATATCCCTGAGCTGCTTGGCAACAAAAAGGGAAGTTTAACTCACAGAAGACAGGACAGAACTGTCTAGAATTAGAAATGAGCTCCCCACAGCCTGCCCCCCCCCCCCACATACACATACACCTCTTGTGACGCACCTTGATTTTCTCCTTCAGAAAGTCCTTTGCAAAGAGGTCCACTGGAAAGGGTGGATTCACGAGAGTAAAAGACAGATGGATGAAGAGGCTGTCCCAGGAGCTGGGAAAATGGTTCAGCAGGTAAAGTACTTGCCTTGAAAGAGCCTAAATTCTACCCCAAAATCCACATGAAAAAACCTTGCATGGTGGGGAACATTTGTAATCCCGGCACTAAGGAGGTAGACACAAGCAGATTCCCCAAGGCATGCTACCCAGTCTAAGCTAATGAATGAATTCCAGGCCAACGAGAGACCCTCTGCACTAAGGAATACTACACATGGGCATGCACACAGAGCCGGTTCCTTGAGCAAAGGCATCTGCCATACAGGCACGGACTGCGCAGCTTTGTTCCTTCTCTACCAGACCACCTCGTACATGGTCATCCAACCAAGGTGACCATCAAGTCTTAGGAGTCTCAGCCTTGCCCAGTTTCAGCAGAAAGTTCTCAGGTCCAGCCTGCCCGAATGGCTGGCCACCTAAAGTTTAATAGGCAAGAACACTAAGGAGAGGAGTGTGGCTAGCAGCCGAGGCCAGACACTGGTCAGCAGCAGACAGAGAGAAGACAGGACCGACCACAGGGGCCAGCAGATGAGGTGGTGTGTGAGGAATGGTGACCTGATGATGGCATCAGGAAGCCCTCTCACAGGGATGGATGCATCGTGGCACTCAGGGCCCCGTGGCAGTGGTTGCTGTGAACGGAAGTCTCCATGAGACAGGTGAACCTGTGTTCTCACCCAGGCTGGTGAGTTTGGGTCCGCTTTCTCCCACAGCCCCTTCAGATAGGAAAAACATCCGTTAGAACTGTTGCTTGCGGATGGCAGCCCTCTCCCTCTGGCATTCCCCTGCAGGAGTGAAGGAAAGGCCCTCCTCCCAACCACTGGAGGTTTTCCGAAACAAAGTAGCAAGGGGAAAAAGAAGATGCTCTGAGCTATGAAACTGGACACAGTAGCACCCACTGATGTCCCGGCTGCTCAGGAGGCTGAGGCACGTTCTCTGGGACCCTGGAGCTTGAAGCCTATGCACTAAAATAAGACCTCCATCTCAAAAAACCAGACAACCAACAAATAGATGGGACTGGGGAATGGTTCATTTTGTAAAGTGTGAGGTCTTGAGTTTGATCCCCCGGCACCCACATAAACACATGTGCCAGGGTCGGTGGGGATGCATTTGCAATCCCAGGAATGGAGAGATGGAGACAGATCTCTGGGCCTGGCTTGCCAGCCAGGCTAACGTAACCACTGGAACCTAGGTTAATGAGAATCCATGTCAGTACTGGACAATATTGAGGAAGGACGCCTGAGTCTGATCTCTGGCATCATTGTATCATATGCACTCCACCCAAAGGTACATCTACACACCCACGAATACAAACACACACCAACTGATAGGGAGATAGAAAATAACTTGCTGGCTCATGGGGACATCAAGGAAGGTGGATGACCAATGACCCAAGGAGAGTCAGGTGCTGTGTGTCCTTTTCAAGGGGGACGGGGAACACAGGTGGTCCTGAAGGCAGTAACTGATTTTTAAGGCAGTTGGGTGGGCTTGACAGAAGGCAGTCCTCCACAGATGATGCCTTTTGTTAGCGAGTGGGCCTCGGAGACGGGTGGTGACTTGTGTGGAAGTCTTCCTGCCGTAGGAGTTTAGTTAATGCGACCTCGGGGAGCGGACAAAGCCTACTGCTTTCTGCACTGTCGGATCTGATCTTTGGGCAGACAGGAACAATGGAGCAAAATCTGCTTCAGCAACGGCCACCTCCAGGTCAGACCAGACCTATACCCAGACAGAGCGTTAAGGAATACAGGGATTGTGCCCCAGTATGGTGCCAGGCTGGGCACAGGTTGGGTCTAGCCCCAGGTGCTTGTGATAGGCTGTCCCGGGGCCTGAGCTGCTCCTGCTGGGTCCTCAGGGCTTTATGACCCGACTAGGATCAAGTGGGCAGGGGCAGTGCTGGGCAGGTGGTTCAGGCTTCATAAAAGGCTGCCCGCATGGGGGCCTTGGTACCATTCCGTCTTCTCTTCCTCTTTTCTCTCTTTTCCTGGCAGAGGCTGTGCAAGGGCCTTTTCCGGGGCCTTTAAAACCCATCAGTGCAATTTTCACCCCTTTAAACCTGAAAAGAGTTTCTAGCTGCTCTGTGGGTACCAAACGCCAAAGGCATCTAATCACATACAGGCTGGCTGGGCAGGGGGCGGGAGATGATGGAGAGGAACAGCAGGGCAGAGGCGTCTAGAGAGGATGCCCACCAGGCTCTCCTTCCCCTGCCTTCTCTTCTTTGGAGGACCTTCAACTGCCACAGCTGGATTAGATAGCAAATCTATCCTGGAGCATTAAGCCCTTCTACTAAGAGTTTGAGGCATCTGATGGCTGTGACTCTGGCCAGCCCCTCACTCTGCTATGTGAGGAGAAGTACCCAGAGGGGGCCCTCTGTGTTAGTCTACTGAAAAAGGACTGTCTGAAGCAGACAGCAGGAAACTGGGTGGAACTCTGCACCAGCCCTCTGAACCTTGGCTTCTGCCTCATAAATGGAGTGAGCCCTACGTCCTGAACCCTGAGTGTGAAGCTCTCAGGGTGGGGTGTGCCTGGAAGACACCTCCTTCCCATCTGAGGGGTGCTCTAGAGACATGGGCATGATTTACTGTTGGGCAGCCTGGCCAGCACCGGCTTCCCAGAAATTCCCATTTTATTTTGCCCAAGAAAAGCCATAGAGAGCCAGCCTGGGGACTCTGAGTCCGGGAGGGACCCTGGGAGGTGACAGACTGGGACCACTTACAGGCCTCTCTTCTCTGGCCTCTTATCTATCTTGACCCTTCCTGCTTTGTGTGGCTGATACCCCCAGCCTTGTCCCTGAACCCTCACCTTCCTCATCCTCTCCTGCAGACCCCACCCTGACTTTCCGTCCACTGCCTCTCCTCCTGCCTCCCCCACTCAGACCCGCCCCACCCCACTCCCTGCCTCCCCCTCTCCAGGCCTCCCTTCCTGGCCTCTTGCTGCTACCATGGAAACCGCTTCCTCCTCCAGGTCCTGATGGATTCATTTAGCCCCTCACGGTCAGGCCGCTCATGCCTGCTGGCTCTGGGCTGCGGGGGGTGGAGGATCGGAGTGTGGTGGGGGCATGGGATCAGAGGCTCCTGCCCTTTATTCTTTACCCCGTTGCATCGGGGCCTGGCAGGCAGTGTGGGTGGGGCACAGGCTCCACAGGAGACAACCCTGGGGAGAGACACAGACTAGACACAGGGCAGCTGGCCAAAGAGGAATCAAACGGAGGGCGCTGGGTATCAAGGGAGCCAGAAAAGCCAATGGCGTGTGGCCTGCTGGCCACCCCTTCCTTTCCCTCGTGGCTATTTTATTCCTTTGTAAGTCTCTGTCTTTGTCCCTGAATAAGCCAGTGAGAGCAGGGACGGGGAAGGTCAAGAAGCCTGTTGACTGGAGTTGGGGGTCAGCAGGCGGGAGGAAGTGTGGGGAGCCCCTCATCCTCCCGTCCTCCTTTCTGTACTGGCTATCATTCTGACCTTGCTCAGTGAATACAACCACACACGTGTGTGTGCAAGGCCAGAATGAGGTCACGCGTCCTCAGTACTCTAGAGGAGACGGCATGCACTGCGTCACGGAG